CATCCCGGATGAGAGAAGGCAGTAACCGGTCCAGCTCCCAGACCTCTAGGGAAGGCATGCTGGGAGAGGGTAATATCCCAGACAGAATAACCCAGTGCTTGGGCCACACTGCCATCAGGAAGGGAGCAGCTCTGTCTTTGAAAGGCAAGAACATGGTGACCAGGAGCAGAGGAGTGGCAGTTCATTTGGTCCTCTCCCATGGGGCAGGCCAGGAAGCTCAGAATGACTCGTCACTTCTATCAGAGTCTTTCGTAAAGTTCCTGAACGTTGTAGTTCTGAAGATGTCCTCATGCAGCCCTGGTCTAACTGGAAGCCAAGCTCCACTTAGAAAGAGGAAGCTGTAGAATGTGCAGGGCAAGAAGCACCTGACTTGGAGGTGTGGACCTGTGCAAGCCCTGCTTCCAGTGTTCGCTAGCTGAGTGGCTCTGGCCTGTTTCTGGCAAGCTTCCTCCTCTGTAGATTTTGGTCATTCCTACCACATGGTGAACCAAATATAGAGAAAATAGACTCAGAATTTGGAAGAGGATGTATCTGAATTATATATACTTCACCACGGAAGCTCATGGTGAGGTTTAGATATAATTGTGGAGAGTTGGGAGAAAAGAGGACAGAAAATGAGGGGTGCAGGAGGAGGTTCAGGCTTTCTCCCAAATCCTGGTTTTTTCTCATAAGAATTACTCTAGCCCTGACATCCATCTGCTCCGTGCAACACACAGGTACATTACTACCCTAGTTGTAATTTAGCCAGTGCTGGCTCCCTCCCTGGGTCCCAGCACTCCTCTGCTTTGTGCCAGAGAGAAGACTCCTGGCCACAAAGCAACTGCAGCTAGCATTATGTCAACTAGGGCACCTGGTGGTGTGGTGTGCTTTCAGGCTTTGTTGATCTTTGGTGTTTTGTGGGTTTTTCTGGTTTGTGTTTGTGTGTTTGTTTTTGAGACAGAGTCTCGCTCTGTGACCCTGGCTGGAGTGCAGTGGTACGATCACCGCTCATGCAGCCTTGAACTCCTGGGCTTAAGCGATCCTCCTGCCTCAGCCTCCCAAGTAGCTGGAACTACAGGCATTTGTCAGCACACCTAGCTAATTTTTTAATTTTTCTGTAGACACGAGGTCTCACTGTATATTGCCCTGGCTGATCTCAACCTTCTGGACTCAAGCAATCCTCCTGCCTCAGCTTCCCGAAGTCGTTGGATTACAGGTGTGAGCTACTGCACCTGGCCTGTTTATTATAAAACACTCTCATCCACATCCTGTGTAATTTTAAGTAGAGTACATATGTTGGGAGGGCCTCAAAGGACTCTGGGCACACAGTCCCTCCCTCCCTCATACAGGTCCTGTCCTGTAGCCTCAGATTCCTTGCTTTCCCTAGGACAGTGCTGTGTTTCTAAATCTATCCGAGATTCATACAGAAATGAGTCTCCCCATGAGATGGACGAATAAATGGAGGCAAAAGCTAGCCTCCCTCTCAAACCCCAAGTCAAATAAAGAAGAGATGGGAAGGAGCCATCAGATGGGAGAACACAGGGCTGCCTCACTTTACCAGGCATCCTTGTACAACCAGTGGTGACTGGCAAGGGTCAGAGCTGGGGTGTAATCAGTAACTTGAGAGAGAAGCGTTGATCTGCTTCCCAGGAGCCTGCCTGTGCCCTGGCGTCCTCCGACTCTGCTGCTTCAGTCTACTAATCGTCATGCCACGTGATGTGGGTGGGCCACCACAAGAGCTGACATCTGCATTTTTCCCTCTCCTGGCCTATTTCCACAAATATACTTGGTGCCCTATCACCTAATAGAACCTCTCTTCCCTGATCCTTATCTGAAGCTAGTACCCTCTGTCTCTCCTCCATCCTGAAGTCCTCCCGAGAGGGGAGAGGAATCTCCCTGCTCTGTCTGCTAAAAATGCACTCAGTCCTTAACCCTTTACTTAACCCTCTGCGTGACAGTTTCTTTTCTTTTCTTTTCTTTTTTTTTTTTTTTTAGACGGAATCTCACTCTGTCGCCTGGCTCGAGTGCAGTGGCGCAATCTCAGCTCACAGCAACCTCCGCCTCCCGGGTTCAGGTGATTATCCTGCCT